CAGATAAGCAATTAATGCCATTTATTATAGCCTAAGGGAAAGGTTAGCATGGTCCCCCACTTGTTTGAGTTGGTCACAAAAATTTTCAGTAAGTCTTAACATTATTTTGTCCAAACACATTAAATTTCAGATTTCGCAGTTAATGCACCACACCAACACAGAATTTTTATCAGTCTAATAAAAGCAGTGAATTTACATGAAAAGATTGTCAATAGAATTTATAATACGTGTCAATACACTATTTGTGAATAACTATGGATGACTTCATAAGCCGAGCAACCCGATGGCTCCATAGCAAAATCGATCACAAATGTTGTTAGCTACCTTATCTAGAGTCAAAACATATTCTCTTACAAATATTGCATGCTTATTGCAATACTTTTATCTATATCGTGTTTTAAACACGATTTGAGTACGAAATTATATAAATTTGTCGAAAAAAAATGACAACCTAACCATCGGACAGAATCTGCTCGACAATTAGACATATCAGTGTGAAAAACACGCAATACATGTCGAGAAAGTTAGGCCGCCAAATGATTAGGTTTGCCTAACAAAACATTGTATTGTACAACACAAGTACATAAAACTCAACTTGAAAGACTTTGTATAAAATGTAAATATCTACATTTAATAATTGATCTCCTAACATGTTGTCACATAGAAAATGCAGAAATTAAGTGAAAGAGCAATTTCAGAATATCACTTACCTTCAAATATTGTAAACAAAGAGTTGAAAAGCAAGCTTATAAAGTGGCTTTCAAACTGGGGAGCATTAATCAGAACATGTTAATTAAAATGTGAATCAAGATCTAATAAAATTCAGGAACCTAACAATTATAAGATTTTTATTCCTCTCCATACATGTTGTCAGAAATACGAGCTACAAATTACCACAGTCTCCCGGTTTATCACGCTTAATCGGAACCTATTTGCAAAAAAAATAAGTAAAAAAAAAAAAATGGGAACCTATTTGCATGATTGTATTTTCTTTCTCACATCAATAATGGCAGAAAACAGATGCAGAGGCCTCTAATTTTCGATTACGATCATACAACATGCTCATTGTTCTTTTTATTTTTTATTTTTTTTTTGCATGTTTTCTGTTCTCTGCTAATATAAATTTACGAGTAAGGAATTTGTACAAGTAGCCTGTCAATTCACCTGGGCAAGAATTTCACTGGAAGGAATATCGGCCAGAGTTTCCTTCCCGAACACTGTAAATCCAACTGTTGCCTGCAGAAATAAGTTTTGAAATTCAATTAGAAAGGACTGACAAAGTCTCTTTTATTAACCACAAATTATAAGTACAAAGAAACGAATTAAGAACGAGAAAGAAAGAAGGAAATAAAATATATATATAGTCAAATGTCGGTATCCACTTCTGATTATGCTCAACTTTACAAAACTTTTGAAGTACTTCTTCAGGTTTCACTTTCGCACAAGTAGATTGCTTTTCACAGCTTATGCAAGAAAAAAAAAAAAAAAAACCAACTCTTTTCAACTAACTCAAATTTTTAGCATCCGAGTGTCAAAACTATCAACTTCGTATTCCCAACTATATTTCTCTGCTGCCATAATCAACCTCTTCTTCTAAAACATGAAAGTTTATACGAACACGCCCATAGAAAAATCAATTACAAAGCAAGCCAATGGCATAAATCTTCACGAGTGTGTAAATGTGCAAATGAAGTTCAGAAACTCATCAATATTCTATATATTTTTTTATGCTAAACAAATTCATCGATAAGCAAAACCGAAGGAACAACATAAACTCAACTTAACTAAGCTACAAAAAAACTTACATCATTTGTTAAGTAAGTTTTACACTATCCATATTTAGAGCGAGAGCTTTTACACCTATGGTCTTTCACAAATTCTTGTATGAGGAGGCGGCCTAACCGTTAGGCAAGTCAACTCATCATACTTTTTTTAAAACGACATGCTTTTGTTTAGGTTAATTTTTAGATTATAACATTTCAGTTTGAAAGTTTGCATTTTAGTTGGAAAAGTATGGTGCCTAACAGCTGAATTACTGCTTATTCATCGTTATGGCGATTGCTTAATATAATTGCAAATTAAAAAAAATTAAAAATTCTTCATCATATGTCACGTAGACCGATCTTTATGACATACATACCAGCCCTGTCTTCTTGTCAATCTTCGTAAGTGTGCCAGAAAATCCTGCAAATGACCCAGATACAACTTGAACAGTCGAACCAAGTTTCAAGGCTGTAATTTTTCCCGCTATAGGCTTTTCTTCAGCTTTTCTACCTCTTCTTCCGGGCTTTTTCGTGGCATTAGAATCCAATTCTACTTCTTGTTTTAGCACTTCTCCAAAAGCTTGATCGGCGTTTTCTTGCTCTTCCTTTGCTTGCTTGAATATTGCTTCCATATCTTGTTCATCGACCGGCTTGGGCTTCTTGATCTGCCGCTTTCTGTACAAGCCAAAAAAAATTGAAACAACTGGACGTTCCAATTTTTCAAAATCATGTTTAAATAAATGTGAAAGTATATGTAGACTCCAAAGATAGCTAACTTGTGATACCCGAGTGGAAAATTGAAATGATATCCATCAATTTACATATTAATTCAATAAAGTTGTTGAAAATTATGTGTTGCATGTTGTGCTTTACTAGTATGTAAAAAAAACTCAAGATAATCAGGCCCTTCAAAGCATTTACTATCGAAGGGTCCAAAAGGGCAAAAGGCAAAGAAGAAGTTCTTATACAGAAAAAACATGTCTTGTTTTAGTGATTTTTTTTGTTGGATGTCATTCTTCCATGGTGAATTTGGGCCGGGGAATCTGTTCTCCCCCTTGAGGTCACTCTTCCTCCTTGGGGTAGAGACCTTGGGTTAGATACGCTCCTACGCTCACCCTAGCTATAGGAGCTACCTTGTCAGACAAGGAAAACAAACAATCACTTATATAATTTGCAGACAATTCGCCGACAGCCCCTCCTTACTTGAGGGAAGGGTTGTCTACACTTTGACTCTTCATAGCGCGACCTCCGACTAGGGGAGCGCTCATTCGAGACTGAAAGTTCAATAAAGTAGCTCGGCGCAACACGGGTCAACCACCTGTCGGAAGCTAACCCTAAAGGGAAGCTCATTTCCGAGGTGGTTTCCCCTTTCTTACTAGAAAGACAGGAAACAAAACAAAACTATGAAATGTGGAGGTACTCAAACTGGATCAGTGATCGATTTCTAGGTTTCGTCGTAAACCTAATTGGTTACTTCCAATTACGTAAATCAATAGTTCAAACCGCACTCAAAGGTAGGGCAT